GCTGCAGACATCCCACAAAACTCCTCCTCGTCAACATCCGAGTCGCGGTCGTCAAAAAACGATGGCGAACCCGAGTCCTGGCAAACCCGGGTCTTACGCTCCCCCGAGCCTGCCAGCGCTGCCGGCCCAGCGGGCCGAGCCGCCGCGCGCAGGCCCAGGCAGCCGCTGCCGCGCAGGCCAGGCTGCCCAGTCAGGCCAGGCCCGCGGCCGGCAGGCCCCGCGCAGGGGCCTCGGCGTGGCTGCCGCCGGGGCAGACCAGCCGGGGCTCGCACTGGCAGACGCAATGGCAAGCCGAGCACGGCGGGGGCACGGGGCAGGCCGGGCACTGCGAGCCCCAGGCCGCGCCCCACGCCGCTGCGCCAGCGGCGAACCCCCTGGCCGCCTCCTGCAGCACCCAGCCACCTGGGTCCATGCACGGAGGCGCGTGGAAGCCCGTGGGGCCTCGGAGCTTGAGCAAGTCGGCCGCGGTTGTGCAACCCACGGTGCGGCCGCCTGCCCGCTCCCTCGTCGCTTCACGGTGTGCAATCTTCCAGATATGTATATAGCCGCCACCGCGCCTCGAGGCACGAAGTGGACTTCCCCCCAGGCTCTCATGTGCTCTGTTCTGTACTCAGGACTGGGTGATTCTTGTATTCTAGGGGCTGGGGTCCCAGATTCTCAAATTTCCTGGGCGCTCCTGCGCGTTCCTGGGCTGTCTCGCGCGACTTTTCCAGGGGCCAGGGGGGCCCAAGACGGGCCGAGAGGGGCCCAAGACGCGCCCAAAGACGTCGAAAACAGCCCCAAAGCGCTGTAAGACGCCCAAGATGGCCCCAAGACGCCCCAAGAAGCCTCAGAGAAGCCCCAAGAGCGCTCCAAGAAGACCCCCAAGAGGGTCTGAAGAAGCGAAAATCAGAGATTCCCATTCTGTGTTCTGTGTTTTTCACGCTATCGCCTTTTCAAGCTCCCGACGCTCCGAGACGGCCCCAAGAGGCCCCCAAGAGGGCCCCAAGACGGTCCAAGACGGCCCCAAGAGGCCCAGGAAGTGCCAAAGATCGCCCAGGGAGGTCCCAAAACGGGCGCAAGAGAGGCCCAAGAGGAGAAACACGAACCGACAATTCAAGTCTTCCGCCCCTAGAGGCCCCCAAGAGGCCCCAGGAGGCCCCCAAGAGAGCCCAAAAGGCCCCCTAGAGGCTCCACGAGGCCCAAAAAGAGGCCCCCAACGGCTTCAAAACTGCCTCCAAGAGGCCACCGAAAGGCCTCCCGATATCCAAACGAACATCGAAAAGGCCTCTGACCCACAACCCAAGCACGGTGGCGGGATGGGCCGAAAACCACTATAGACATATATATAGAGAGAGAGAGAGAGAGAGAGAGAGAGAGAGAGAGAGAAAGAGAGATACACATATATACATACACACATATACGTTCCCATTCATATCTATTCTTATTACCCGGCGTTCCCAATCATATCTATTCTTTTTACCCGGGACCCCCCCGCCGAAATCGGACCTTCCGAATCCCGGGCCCCCGCGACCCTCTGGACCCACCGGATCCGTGGCCCCAGGGATCCCCTGGACGCCCCTGCAGGAGGCCCCCCAAGCGTTTCAGAGCTCTTGGAAGCCCCTGCTGGGCCTTAGGCAACGAGCCCAAATCGGTCAGGAGGGCTGCCGAACGCCCACCCCGAGGGCCCCAAGAGGCCCCAGACACCCACAAAATGCCCGAAGACGACCCAAAGAAGACCCCAAAGAGGCTTCCAAAAACGTAGAAAAGCATTGATTCCCCAAGGTTTTTGCATGATCTTGGGAATCCCCCGTTCTTCGGTCTTCTGGGCGTCCGAGACCGCCTGGGACGCTCGAGGATCGGCCCAAAACCCATCCGAAAGAGCTTCCAGGCAGTCCAAGAGAGCCCCATGACGGCCCAAGATGGCCCCAAGACGCCCCCCGAACCATTCCGAATCGTGACCCAGTCGTTCAGGAGACCGCAATTGCAAGCAGTGTGGCCCGAGAAAGCCCCCAGAGGCCCACAGAAGACGCCCGGGAGGCCTCCAGAAAGCCTTAAGAAAGCATTCAAAACTTTTGTGAGGCCCTAAGAGGCTCTCCAAGGAAGAGCCTCCGCCAAAAGAGCTGAGGAGGTTGGGGAAGAATTCGAAGGGTAGGGCGACAATGAGGAAAAAGAAGCATGGAGGTGGATACCGAAGAGCATTATTATAACGGCGATGCCGGAAAAGACAACAAAGTGCTATCGCTAAACTGTCTCTTTGACCTTCCATTCCGCCTGAATACCAAATTCCAAGGTCCAAGGTGCATGGCGCGAAGCGCCAATGCAGTCTTGTGTATATATGTATATGTATATATATATATATGTATACATATGTGTGTATATATATATATAGAGAGAGAGAGAGACAAAAAAAAGAAAAAAAAAAAAGAAAAAAAAAACATGAGAGAGATTCCCTTTCATAATTTCTACTAATCCGGACCCTGCGGAAGCCCTACCCCCCCCCCGCCGCCCGAAACGGGACCACCGGGATCTCGGGCGCCAGGGGCCCCCTGGACGCCCCTGCAGGAGGCCCCCCAAGCCTTTCAGAGCTCCTGGAAGCCCTTGCTGGGCCTGGGCAACGGGCAGGATGGCGGCCGAACGGCCCCCTGAGGGCCCCAAGAAGCGTCAGACACCCACCAGAAGCCCGAAGATGTCCCATAGATGACCCCCAGGAAGCTTTCTAAACGTACAAAAACATTGATTTCCAGATGTTTTTGGATAATTTGGGAAATGCTCTGTTCGTCGGTCTCCTGGGCGTCCGATACCGCCCATGAGGCCCGAAAATCTCCCACTAAATTATCAGGAAGGGCTTCCAGGTAGTCCAAGAGAGCTCCAAGACGGCACAACAGGGTTCCAAGATGGCCCGAAGAGAGGCCCATGAAGCCCAAGCTGGCCCCAAGACGCCCCCGAAGCATTCCAAATCGTGACCTGATCTCGTTCAGGGAAAGACGCAGGGTGGCCCGAGGAAGCCCCCAGAGGCCCCCAGAAGGCACCCACGAGGCCTCCAGAAGGCCCCGAGAAGCCCAGACACACTTTCGTGAGGCTCCAAGAAGCTCTCCAAGGAGGAGCCTGAGCAACAAGAGCTGAGGAGGATGGGAAAGAATTCGCAGGGTAGGGCGACAACGTGGAAGAGAAAAAGAAAACAGGAGAGAGAATTCATGAAAATCATCATTATAATGGCGGTGCCGGAAAAGACAACAAATTATCGCTAACTTGTCGGTTTTACCTTCCTGGGATCTCGGGCCCCCAGGATCTCGGGCCCCAGGGGCCCCCTAGACGCCCCTGCAGGAGGACCCCCAAGCCTTTCAGAGCTCCTGGAAGCCCTCGCTGGGCCTAGGCAACGGGCCCAAATCGGTCACGAGGGCGGCCGAACGAGGACCCAAATAGGCCCCAGACACTCACCAGACGCCTGAAGACGACCCAAAGAAGACCCCCGGATTGCTTTCTAAACGCAGAAAAACATGGATTTTCCAAGATTTTTGCATGATTTTGGGAATGCCCTGTTCTTCGGTCTTCTGGGCGTCCGACACCGCCCAGGAGGCCCGAAAACCTCCCCAAAACCATCCGAAAGGGCTTCCAGGCAGTCCAAAAGAGCCCCAAGACGGCACAACAGGGTTCCAAGATGACTCGAAGAGAGCCCCATGACGACCCAACATGGCCCCAAGACGCCCCCCGAAACATTCCCAATCGTGACCCGGTCGTTCAGGGATACCGCGATCGGAAGCAGGGTGGCCCGAGGAAGCCCCCAGGGGCCCACAGAAGGCGCCCACGAGGTCTCCAGAAGACCGCAAGAAAGCATTCAAAACTTTCGTGAGGCCCCAAGAGGCTCTCCAAGGAAGAGCCTCCGCCAAAAGAGCTGAGGAGGATGGGGAAGAATTCGCAGGGTAGGGCGACAATGAGTAAGCGGAGGAGGAAACATGAGGGACAAATAATGAATCACATTATTATAACGGCGATGCCGGAACAGACAACGATGAGTTATCGCTGAGTTGTCATGGAGCGAAGCGCCAATGCAATCCGGTGTGCGTGTATAAATGTATACATGTATATGTATATATATATATATTCCACTTGATATATTTTTATAAATCCGCACCCTGCGGAAGCCCTGCCCCCCCCCGAAACGGGGCCCAAGAAGCTGCCAAGACTTCCTCCTCCTCCTCCTACTCCTGATCTTCCCCCCGCCATCCTCCCCCAAGTGTTCCCCGAAGGGTTCCCACAACGGCTGGAGGAACACATGGTTCGATAGCTTGGCAGAGTTCTTGCCAGAACGCTCGGCCACAAGGGCAATTCCAAAAGGCAGGGGGCGGCGGTGATTCGCCGTAGGCGTCTTCGATACAGGCTAGACAACTTGATCTCGAAGTTGTTTCCACGCAGTCGTACTGCTGCGAGACGACATGTAAGTCCAGGGGTGCCACTCCACAATGTGACATTGTTATTGGCCCGCGTGGTGTCCTTGCGCAACAGGAAAATCATCCGCACGATGTATTGGACAGCTCGTAGGTATTTGCTGATGCAGCCGAAGTGTATAGTTCTGGATTTCGCAGTCGATCCATGCTGCTCGCTGGGAACCGATCAAATCAATCCAGTCAGCGTTCTTGAATTTCTCAACAATATCCAGCATGCGATCATCTCTGTTGCAGGCGACAGGGCTCTACGCCACGAAGCGCACCAGCGCGAGCGCTAGCACTGGCCACATCAATCAGGTCCCCGTGACAGCTGGGCGGGCTCGCCCCAACACATCGGCCGACAACGCGGCGCCGCGGAGCTGCGGCATAACCACGGCGGTGCGGGCGAGGGAACTGCACCTGCGCGGCTAGTAGTAGTAGGAGGAGGAGGAGAAGGACGAGGAGGAGGGCGAGGAGGAGGACGAGGAGTGAGTAGGAAAGGAGGATGAAAACGACGACGAGGACGAGGGGGAAAACGAACGGAAGCATGACGAGCAACACTAGGGCGGGGCTCACCCTCGTGTTGCTCGTCCCTCACTCCTCTGTCTTGAACCACCGCAGCTGGGTCATGAGGATGTCGTCCTGTAGCGGGCGGAGGCCGGCAAGAGAGAGCAAAGAGCATCTTGGCCGGCCTGGGTGGAGGATAAGGGCATGGGGGACGCGTGGCGCCAGCCCAAGCGGAGGGAGCTGGAGAAGGGACGAGGAAGAGGGGGCGGAGGGTGGGCGGAGAGGAGAGAAGGGAGTCGGAGGATCGGGGTGCGCCGAAGGGGGGGCCGGGAAGAGGGGGGTGAGCGCATCATGAACCTGGTCATGAGACATGCGCACACACCTAGTCGTCACCGCCCAACTGGACGCCCCCGAAGGATGAGGCGAAAAGGAGTGGAGAATATTCCCCATCCGTCTTCCCTTCCCGTCCCATTCTTCCCCGCCTCTGCTCTGCACTCCTGCAAAACCGTGGCCGCGCTCGCGCGTCGGATCTGCTGTTCCATGTTGCTGCTGTGCACGAGGAGATCTGAGGAGGGAGGGCGAGGGGAGGCGAGAGAGGGGGGCCAGGGGAGCGGAGATGAATCGCGGGGGAGGGGGCGAAGGAGGACAGAGAGAGGGTGGTCTACTGTCTACTCGGTCTTTCAAGGACAGGTCTGCAGACGTACCAAAGGCGCCCTTGCAACAGACACGTGCCTTCGAAAAAACCGTGCAACCAAAGACTGTCCTGCAGCAAAAACGTTTGAAGGTAGACGTGCCTTCAAAGAAAAACGCCCATAGCGGATGGAACACACGGCGCGGGCGCGCGCCAGCCACGAGGGGCGCGGCGGGCCCCGACACGACCGGCGCAAGGCAGGCCAGCAAGCCCTCGCCTGCCACGGGCTGGAGCCGACGGCGGTCGGTGGCGGGCGGTGCACCCTGACGTCGACGACGCCAACGAGGACGAGGGGGACAAGGACGACGACGAGGTCGACGAGGGCGACGGGGGCGGGGCCAGCTCTGAGCCTGCGCCACGTTGTGCTGCATCGAGCTGGCGCTAGCCACGGATCGCCACGGGGTCTCCCTGGGCACGCTGTTACGGTCCAAGAGCGCAGCGGATGACAGAACGACGATGTCATCCAACTTCGCGCATCGCGCCCCGCGCCCCTCGATGCGCGAGTGTCTCTGCGCAGACGCGAGGTCACCTTGGAGAAGGGTAGCTGTCCCGCCCAGACATGCCCAGACCACGTTGCGCGAAGCTCGACATTCTTCGCGTTCAAGCGGGTTACCTTAGGAAAAGAAAACACTACTTAAGCATAAACTTGCGGGGGTCCTCGCGGATCTGCGCTGAACCCCCCTCCCTGGCACGCGGAGCGCGCCAGGGGCAATGCCAAAGGCGCCGCCAAGGTCACCCAACGCCGATCCAGGAAATCCTTGCGGAACTCTGAAAATTTATGTGCCGTTTTTTCTTCTTCGATTCCCGCGGGTGACCTGTGCCTCCAAATCTGTCGGCGGTCGTGCGCGCCAGGCTCCCCACATCGCAACAGGTCGGGCTCGTGTGCTCTACGGCGTCGCGGCTGCTCGCCCTACCCATCGCCATCCTGCGCTGAAGTACATCGTCGTCCACTCATTCGCGTAAGCCCTTCTTGCAAGGTTCTGTGGCAACCCATGGGAGCCTCCCATACCATCTTGCTGGCTCTTGCGAATCGACGCTACTCGACGCAACATCGACGCTAACCGTCGCTAAATTGACGCCGAGTCGGCGTTTATCACCGACTACCTGACGCTACCTCACGCTAATGCACTCTAAAAACGGAATTACGAAAACATACCAGGCTCCCATGATTGCTACCGAATGCAAGTGCTGTTGCTGAGCATGTAGTAGCCATGCGAATCTGTTTTCGCAAGGTTCGAAGTCTAGGTCGTCGTCGACGCCATCGACGTACAATCTTCCCCCCTATCATGTCGTGGAAGCACCTCCGCTGGTGCTTATAACGGCCCTCTTGCTCTACTGGCTGTGCCATGAACTGCGCAGAAGTTCGCCGAAACATCTAATAGTCCGCTCCGCTATTGGTTGCGCCATGCGGTGCGCGGAGGGCCGCAGACACTGAACACGGTCTGCAAGTGGATGCGCGTTATGTTGCAGCGAGGACTGCCGGACCTTCAAACACAGCCTTCTCTTGGCTGCGCGATAGATTGCGCCGAGGGTCACCGAAACTGAGACAGGTTTGCTCTGGGTGCGCCGTCCACAAACTGCACCAATGGGCGACGAAACTGAAAGGGCCCAGCTCTGGTTTCGCCACATTGCACCGAAGGCCGCCGAAACTGAAAACGGTCATAAACAATCTGCCACTGGATGTACCATCGGCTGCACCGATGATCGCAGAGCCTTCAAAGAGTCTTCCACTGGCTGCCGAGTGGGTTGCGCCGAGGACCACCGAAACTAAAAACAGTCCGCTGATTGGTTGCGCCATGTCGAGCCGAGGGCCGCCGCAACTGAAAAAACAGTATGAGATCGATGGCGCCGTAGGTTGTGCTGGGGCAGTCAAAACAACCCAATACTTTCCAGGGTCAGCCCTGCGCAGCTCATCAAAAGAAGTGTGGACGAGATGTGCCACATTTTACGGCCTTCTGGGCGGTGTTGGAAAGGTCGCCGCACGGAGTGCTTTGCTGGCACGCTAGCAGATTTGCCGCGGGTGACTGGATTATTTGCGCGCCGCGGGGCAGTGCGGATCAGGCGGCTGCGGAGTAAATGCGCATAAGCATGCAGAACTTCCTGTGGGGCACAACTATCCACACGAGGGGTGTGCCGAGATGGGCGGAAACACGCATGTGACGCCCCGAGGCCGTCGGTGGAGATGCAGCACGGCACGGTCCGTCTGAGGGGGCGCCGGATTTTGCGGAAGGGCGCGTGCGAACGCGCTGGCTGAAGTAATAAGTGGAGCTCCTCGTGGTGCATGGTTCGTTTGAGCGGTGCCGAAATGCGCGTGGGCCCGCATGCGAACCCTCCCACTGGGGCCCGTATTTAGAGCTCCGTATGGGGCATGATCCTGGGGGGCGAATGCACCCCCTACCACTGGTGCTATAGGTGGGGCCCCTCATGGGGCAAGATCCGCGTGAAGGGTGCCGAAATGGGCGGGGGGCGCATGCGAACCTTCCCACTAGGTCCGTGAGTTGACCTCCATGCGGGGCACAAGCAATATGAGAGGTGTGCCGAAACGCACGAGCGAACAAGAAGGGAAGCTTAAGAAGAGGAGGAGGAAGGGAGTAAAGAGAGGAGGAGGATGCGGAGGGGGAAGATTGGGAAGGAGGATACGCGTGGCACTGCGGATTCAAAGCGAAGACCCAACTCCACAGGAGGGTTTGGAAACATCGCACTGCCAAGAAGCACTAAACAACATCTACCATAGGTTGCGAATGATACCCCGCGGGCCACTAATCGGCCGTTGCCTCAGTGGGTGCACGATTACGTCATATGTCGCGCCAAGCTCCCAGCGGGCCACGAAATCGGCCGTTGCCACTGTGGGCGCACCATTGCGCCAAAATACACCGTTGGTTGCACCAAGCACCCCGCAAGTCATCAGATCGTCCGTGGCCTCAGTTCGCGTGAAAGACGCTCTTCCGTTCGTCGTCGTCGTCGTCGCCGCTCCCCCCCTTTCCCTGGGCCCTACTCCTCAAGCGCACCAGCCAAAACGACATAAGCAGCACCGTCGTAGTTGAGTCGAGGGGAAGCCCCTGCCCTTTGATCCCTTCCCCGCCGGGAGGGGGAAGCCACGGGGGTTCCCAAGGGGGGTCCCGGGGGGGGGAGGGGTCCTGGGGCAAGTCCCTGGTCAGAATGTCGCCCCCCCCCCCCCCCCCTCGAGGAGTCCCAAAGCCCCAAATCCCCCAGCACGAACCAAGACTGCCCTAGGAGGCCCCCAAAACGGTCCCAGAGAGCCCCGAATCGCCGAACTATCGGCCCAAGACGCCAGAGTAGCCTCCAGACGGCCCAGTAGGCTTCCAAGACGCCTGAAGAGGCCTCCAAGAGCACTCCAAAGAGGGCCCCAAGCGGCAAACATCATTGCTTTTTCCAAATATGTTGATCGATTCTTGGATTCTCGCTCGGTTTCCCAAAACTCCAAGACGGCCCAAGAGGCCCCCAGCCCCCAAGATCGCCCCAAGATAGCCCAAGAGGCCTCCAAAAGAGCCCGAAAACGACCCAAGGAGGCCCCAAGACGACCCAAGAGGCCTTCAAGACGGCACAAGAGGCCCCCAAGACGGCTCCAAGAGGATGCCCAGACGGGGGACCCGAACGAACATTTCGAGCCCTCAGCCCCGAGAGGCTCCCAGGAAGCCTTGGGAAGCTCCAAGAGGCCCCCCCTTTAACCCACGACAGCATCATCGTCGTCGTCGTCGTCGTCGTCGTCGTCGTCGTCGTCGTCGTCGTCGTCCAGGGTCGGCGGCAACGGCCGTGAGGCCTCTCCAATACACCAGTCACTGTTGGTTGCTCACCACATCGTCAGTTGCCACAGTGGGTGCCATCGCGCCACAGACTGCGCCAGACGCCCCGCGAGCCACCGAATGGCCCCTTGCTTCAAATGGTGCACAATTGAGCCGTAGGCTGCCCAATGTACGACGCGGGCAGCAGAATCGTACGCACGCTGCCTCAGTGAGTGCGCCACTGTGCCATGACCAGCTCGTCCGTTGCGACAGCGAGCGCACTACTGCGCCGCGCTATAAGTTGCGCAAACATCCCGCGGGCCACCAAATCGCCCACTGCCTCAATTTTGGGAGACATGGGGCTCGGGTTCGGGGGACTCGGGTTGCCCTGACGGGGCCATCGTGAACATGACGAGACCCAATCTGAAATTTGACGCGACCCCCCGCTGCAAAAACCCAACGAGGACCGAACCGTCAGAATCCAGAGCGCGCGCGTCGAAAAGCGTCGGCAAACCCCAGTTCCAGCTTACTCGGGTCTTACGTTTCACCGATCAATGGGTGTTCCCTTGCGCCTGCCCAATAGCGCCCCCACGGCTCCCAAGGGCGCCCCAAGAGGGCCCCAAGAGGTGGCCAGGAGGCCCTGAGAGGCCCCCAAGAGGCCCCCAGGATGCCCCCAAGAGACCCCCCAAAGGCCCCAAGAGGCCCCCCAGAGGCACCCAAGACGCTCGGAGAATGCCAAAAACATTGATTTTTACGTAGGTTTTGGCCACATGTTGGCCTTTTGGGGGGGGGGCACTGCTTAAGATGACTCCAAGAGCGCCTGGAAGATCCCAAGATAACCTCCAAAATGGCTCAAGATATCCCAAGATACCTCAAAATGGCTCCCACGATGCTCCGAGAGGCCCCAAGACAGATCGAAGAAGGCTCCAAGTGGCAAAAGAGCTCCCCCAGGAGGCCCCGAAGAGGCCGCCAACATTCTTCCAAAATTTTGGTGTTCTCGCCTTTTCGCTTCCGATGGCCATCCGAAGCCTCAAATGGCTCCAAGATGGCCCAAGAAGGCTCCAAGAGCGCTCCCAAGGCTCCCAAGGACCCTCTAAGAGAGCCCCAAGAGGCGCCCAGGAGGCCCCAGGACAGGAGGCCCAAACAGGAGCCCAAGAGGCCTCCAAGAGGCCCACAAAGCTCTCCGAGGCACCCAAGACGCTCTAAGAGGCGTCCGAGACCGCCAAGAGTGCCCCAAGACGCTCCAAGAGGCCTCCAATGGGTGACCCTTCCTTTGTGTGCTGCGCACTTCCCTGATCGAGGCAATTCCTCGGGGCATCTTTTCTGGATGGGCTGGTGGGGTTATTTTTTTGGTCGGCGGCTCCCAAGCGAAGGTCAAGGAGCGGGTCAACAACGAACGGGGCGCGAACGATGCTAATTGGCCGCAGTGGCATATGCACATGCGAGGGACAAAAAAACCCAAATTAAACGCCAAAGGCCGGAGTAGACGTCCCGGCGGTGAAGACACCACAGCGCGGCGACCGGCGGCGAGACGGCGACGAGGACGCCCTTTAGGCGACAGGCACCAGCAGCTCAACGCGACCATACGATCAAGCCGAGCATCCCGACGGGTGGGGACGAGCGCGGCGACCGGCACAGGGACGGAACTGGAACGGCAAGGAAGTCGCCCTGGCGGCGCCTGACTCCGGCCGCTTAACAAATTGAAGCGAGGCCAGTGCGAGAGAAAAGGTGCAAGTGTGTACGCCAGCCGGGGCACGTGGCAGCGCCAAGAAAAGAGGGCAGCGAGCAGAGAATGGCCTCACTCACCATGGCTCACTGACGCGGAGGTGTGGTGAGACCCGTCCTTCGCATGAGAAGGATGCGACCCCGGTCTGCGCACACGAGGTAGAGCCGAGCCTGCAGTCAGCGCATACACAACGTATCCGACTCTCGCGGTTCGGGGGCACAACGATGCAAGTACTTGCGGAGGCGGATGCAGACTGATCTGCAGGGGGTAGGCCACGGACTGCAGAGGGCTGAACCACTCGATGCAGGGCCACACCCTGTCGAAGCCAGACATCAGGTAACACCGGAGGTCTGGCTATCGAACGCACCCGAACGCCACCTGTCACGTAGCCCGCGGAGCTGAGCATGCCTGGCGGCGACCAACTGTAGGCCGTAGCGACTGTAGGCGTCGTGCTGGCCGCTGCCGAGACGTCCTTGTGGTAGCGCCATGATCGGGTCAGCATGGAACCACGGCGATACATAGGTGGGGGGGGCGCTGCCTGCTGCTGAGCGCCGGTGTCACAGCGGGAGGGGGGGCCCTGCTCCACTGCAGCACCACTGGCGTGCGCTCGCAGGCTGGCAACCAGACGATGCCAGTGCATCCCCATCGTATCCGACTCACGCGGTCTGGGGGCTCAACGATGCGATGTCCTGTCGAAGGCTTGGCATGTGGCTGCGCCGATAAGAGCTACAACTGGACCGCAGGCTGAACCACACGATACGGGTCGCTCATACGGCGAGGGCACTCACCATTGTGCGTGGTGGCACCCCCATCCACCACATGCCACGCTGCTCCTGCGGAGGAAGGGTGCGTCCGGAGCTGGGGCAGGCAGCCCGCCGGTCGCAGCCAGGCCGCAGGGCAGAACCCTTCGCTGTCGGCGTGCTGACCTGCCGGGCTGGGTCGCCACTGCTGCCCCCTGGGCGGGTCACAACTTCCACGGACGAAGCTATCTATGCTGTTGAACGCGGGGGGGCGCAGCCGAGAGCAAGCTGGTGGGGTTACGCGAAGCGTCTAGAATTAGGTTGTGCTGTAGGTTGCGCCAGGCATCGCGCGAGCCTCTGGATCGGCCGCTGAGTCAGCGGGCGGACAGTTGCGCCATGGGTTGCACAGTAGGTTGCGCCATAGGTTGCGAGGCGCCCCGTGGGCCACCAATTGGCTAGATGCCGCGGTGCGTGTGCCAGTGCGCCATGGGTTGGGCAATCTGTCGCGGAAGGCACCCCGCGGGCCACCAGATCGGCCGACGCCTCACTCTGCGCGGCCTCTGGATATCTCACATTGATCCACGCATCCTTTGCCGTTTATGGAAACCTGGGCTGAGCCAAACAAGCGAGCGGGCGGGCTCTGGCGGCCCGAACCCGTCCGCGTGCAAACCCATCCCACCCCCTCTCCCACCCTCGCAATCTCCGGCATCCTCCTTCCATACCCTCACGCCTTCCCCTCCCTGCTCTCTCCCCCTCTCAAAACCCGCTTCCCGTCCCATCCCGCACCATCTCCCTCCCTCTCCCCACCCCTCCCCACCCCTCTCCCCACCCATCCCGCTCCCTCCGCCTCCCTCCCGCAAGGCCTCTCCCTGTCCCTCTCCCTCCGCCCCCCCACCACCCATCCTGGTTTTCCTGCTTCGCCTCCCCCAAAGGGAGGCAAAAAGGTACCGATACCGCCACTCCGTGGACCCCTCCAGGGGTGCATTCAGACCAGATTTTGCAGGAGGATCCAGTTGTGGTGACGAGGACTCTTCAGGACGAAAAGCGGTATCGGTACCTTTTCCCCCTGTGGTTAAGGGAAAAAATGAAGCAACACTCCCCCCTCCCCCGCAATTCAAAGTTGGCACGTTTACGCATCACTGGTCCGACACTCAAGCTCGGAAGATCCGAACTCAACACTGCACTCGGGGGGAAGGGGGGGAGTTCAGACCATGTGTTACGCGTGAATGTTGCTTAATTGTTTCCGACACCTGTCTAACTAGGGGAACGAAGAATGACATACACATGAAAACTCGGAGGTCCGCGCGGATTTCTCGGATCTCCGCTGGACCGGAGCGCGCCAGGTCCCAGCGCGGATCCGAGAAATCCGCGCGGACCTCGGAGTTTTTATGTAACTCCCGAATCTCCCCCGCTCCCCGATCACTGTTCCCTCTTCCGGGACCCCCCGCAGTCCTGGAGGATCTGCTTCTGCCGCCAGGGCTCCAGAGGCGCCACGGCGGGGAGGTCGCAGGCCACGGTGTCGCCGGCCACCGACCCTGCGGACGCGGCGGGGGTCAGAAGGCAAAGGGAGCACCGGGGGGGGGGTCAGGCTAGGGACTCCTCCTCCTCCTCTTCCTCCCTCCTCCTCCTCCTCCTCCTCCTCCTCCTCCTCCTCCTCCTCCTCCTCCTCCTCCTCCTCCTCCTCCCTCCTCCTCCTCCTCCTCCTCCTCCTCCTCCTCCTCGTCCTCCTCGTCCTCCTCGTCCTCCTCGTCCTCCTCGTCCTCCTCGTCCTCCTCGTCCTCCTCGTCCTCCTCGTCCTCCTCGTCCTCCTCGTCCTCCTCGTCCTCCTCGTCCTCCTCGCCCTCCTCGTCCTCCTCCTCCTCGTCCTCCGAGGGGGTGGGGGGAGGCGGCGGCCGTGGGGGAAGTGAGGGGGGAAGGGAGGGGGGAGCAGAGGGGAGGGGAACAGGCAGAGTGGGCGGACGAGGGAGGGAGAGGCAAGCGGCAGGGAAGCCGAAGCAGAGGGGTGGCCGTGCTTGATGGCGGCCTGTGAGCGGATTCGCTCGGCGCAAAGAGATCGGTTGCACGACTTCGGCCCCCTCTCCCCGTGTTTCGTCTCCTCCTCTGCCAGGGTCTCTGCCCAGGTAGCGAAATTTACGTCCCGCAAAAACAGCGAAGGAACGGTTGTTCCAACAAGTCGGAAGGCCCTTGTGTTTTGAGCAGTGCTCCAGCTTTATGAAAGCACGGCATGACATTGCGTGTAAAGTCCGCTCCCAATGCAGTGGAGGCCAGTCCACAAGAAACCTTCCACAAGAAACCCAACCCTGAAACCCCAGAACGTCCATTGATTTTTCCCTACCTAGGCTCTGCCTAGAAGGGTTCTTACTCTGTAGCTTAAAGAACCGGGCAGTGCTACGCGCCCCGGGCGGTTCCCCCGGTCCCCTGGGAGCGGTTCCCCCAGTCCCCTGGGAGCTTTAGCTTTAGCTTTAGCTTTAGCTTAGCTTTAGTTTAGTTTTAGCTTAGCTTCAGCTTAGCTTCAGCTTAGCATTAGCTTAGTTTTAGCTTAGCTTTAGCTTAGCTTTAGCCTAGCTTTAGCTTAGATTTTGCTTAGCTTTAGCTTAGCTTTAGCTTAGCTTTACTGTTACTACTAATGCTGCTTTCCTAGGGGCTCCAACTCCTAGGTAGAGCCGCACTGGGATAATTGGTGTGGGAACGTCGCGCTCTCCATGGCAAAAACATCGAAACCCAAAAACCCCAGGGTGTCTCTCGGCATGTCTCCACTGTATGATCTGCCCCTCATGCTCGCCTCCCTCTCTTCTGCGAAAAACGCTGTGGCGACATGTCACGTCCGTGCTCCTCGGCAGCTCGGGCGGGGTCCGGCCTCTGCGGCCCTGGCGGCGGCCTCCACGAGCGCGATCAACCGAGGGTACGCCATGCATAAACAGTCGAGTTGCTACCAGGGGGAACGTTCGACAAGCAAGGAAGCCCCTTCTGGGAACGAGGCCCCTTCTTGGAAACAAAAGCGCCTGGGGGCAGGGCTGAACCTAAACGATGTTTTTCGCTTTCGTTTTGGTTTCGTTTTCCCTCGCTTTTGTCTCGAATCCGTCTTTACCGCAAAACGAAGTCGAAACGAAAACGGCCCACGAAATCACCCAAAACACCGTTTAGGTCCAGCCCTGCCTGGGGGCACGAGGAGTGCTGGAGGAGTAGCCATGGAATGACCTTATGAACAGCGAGCCCCTTCCGAACCCGAACTGGTCCTCATTTCAACGCCTTGACTGCATGAGGGGGAGGAGAAGGTGGACGAGGAAAACGATTGGGATGAGCAAGAGGCAAGAGAGAAAGAGAGAGAGAGAGAGGGAGGGGAGGAAAGGCGGAAAGGGGGGGAGGGCTGGGGCAGGGGGAAGCGGTGGCGAGAGGGGGGAGGCGAGGTGGGGGAGTGGGGGTGATGATGCGACGCGCGGCTTCGCAATGTGCGTGCTCCACGCCGATTTCCCCGATGCAGCTCGATGTGGAGCCCGATTTCCTCCACGCCGACGTCGCCGATGCATCGCCGACGTCGCCAATGCATCGGCGATACGGCGGGATCCTCCGACCATATCTACTCCGCCCCCCCTACCATGATTACCACCGCCGTCGGCAACGATCTTTCCTCCGAGAGCCCTCGCCGTCGTACGGGCCATCTTGCCGCGGTGCACCGCGGTGCTCGACGAAGGAGGCTGCCCGGTAGCGAACGGTGTTGGCTCGCTCTCCTGTCTCCTGGCAGGCAGTTCTCAGTTATCTCCCTATCCCTCCCCTGAGGGGCAACGATACGGGGCGACTGGCTCGGGGGGGGAACGCCGACCTGGATGCCCCTCATTCCACTACTGCAGGTTCGTGCCGTGTCGACCCTGGCGTTGGTTCCTGACACCGCGCTGGATCGTTCAACCTTGAACGATCGGCCGTCTCCGCAACGTCCAATCGTTCCACATCGAACGATTCTGGGTCGCCCGCGGCGTTCAACGTTGAACGTCGGCGGCGGGGTCGCCGCCGGTCGACACGACGCGAACCTACCGTATCCTTGCTGCTGATCCCCACATTCCCCCGAACCCGAACTCTCCTCTCCGACTCCCCCCCCACGCCCCAACTTGTTGCATGCTGTCTTGCGTCGGTCCAAGTTTCCGTGGCCCGCACAAGTGCGGCAACGGAGGCGCCTTCTGGTATGACGAGCTCCAACTGCATATTGTTGACAATCACTCGGACCTGGCCGTGGCCCCAGGCGATCGGATCGAAGGAGTTGGCAATACGGGGCCCGCGTCGGACACGCGCGAAGGCCTTCCGAAGCTCTTCGAGCTTTGGTTGGCCCCGGGAGCTGGAGATGGTCACAAAGAAACGGCACAGAAACTGACAACAACCTCAATGGCACGAGCCTAACAAATAACGTGTGTGGGCGGACACATCCGCGGCGGCACGGTTCCAGCCGCTTCGAAGCACCGAAACATCCAAATTGTTTTCCCGTGCCGTCCATGGAGAATACAACCCCACAAAGCTGAAAGGCATTCAACAACGTGTGAGCGTGTATGTCTTTGTGTACGTGTGGGAACCTGTTTCAGCCTGACCTCGCTCTTTGCGTCTCGAATTCGGCTCGCATTGACCAATGCAACGTGACCGATTAGATGTTTATTCGCCAGGCCGCCGACACTGAATGAAGCGCTCGCGGGGGAAATGCGCCGCACAACAAGACATGGCTGGGCGCGGCACCGCGCAGGGCATAGACTTGTGGTTGCCATCACAGTGGGCACTTTAACCTTTCTATCCTTGAATCAAGAACTATGTAACGTGTCTTCTACATGATTTAACCATGTTCGAAACATGTTTAAAACACGTGTTGACACTTTCGAAACATATGTCAAACATGTTTTATGCATCTCGGACATATTTGGTAATATGCCTCCTCTCCAGTGGTCGTTTTCCACAACCTAACCCACCGAATCACGAGTTCGACTCACGACAAGTCCACGGCGCGTGGGAACAAAATCACGAACTGGACCTATGGCACGCAATTACTTGCGCCTAGGCCTGCTTTTGCATGTTTCGCACTGAGGGTCTGGCCCAAAACGGCGCTCCCGACATCATGCGCAACGGAATCGCGTTGTGACCCGCTGTGTCCCCCTGCACCACGGGTTGCGCCGTATGCCGCGCCACACGTTGTGCCATACACCGCGCCCAATGGAAGCAATGTTTTGACCCGCTGTCCTCCTGCGCCACAAATTGCGTCAAGCACCGAACGCAGCGGAATCACGGTTTGACCAGCTCTGTCGAGCCAAATACCACGCGCAACAAAATCAAGGCTTGACCCGTTCTGTCTGCGCCGCAAGTTGTAGCAAGCACCGCGCGCAACGAAATTATGAGTCGACCCGCCGACCACCCGCGCCATGCGTTGCAGACATCGCGCGTAACGAAACACGGTTTGATCTGTCCCTGCAGACTTTGCCGCGCATGCTAAATCATACGAGCCCTCCTGTTCGCTTCTGGGAAGCAACAGCAGCGACCCGAGTCTCGACCCACCCCGCAGAAGCGGAGGAATGAGGGTCTGTCCTGGGATCGACAGGACAAACCGCAAGCAGGCCCGCCACTGTCGCCCCAACCAGTGCTTGTGCTCAAAGGCGCTTGCTTGCTTTGGTAGTGAACCCTGGGCGGCGGGCTGAACCCTGGGCGGCGGGCGCCAGGTCCGGGTGGGCCTGGGTGCATGAGGGGCAACGATAGGGGGGGAACTGGCATAGAGGGGGAAACATCGACCTGGAATCGGCGATACATCGCCGACAGATCGGCGATAGGCCCCCGGTAGCGAATCCGCACGTTTTTGGGCGGGGTGAGGCTATCAGGCCCCTATCGGCGATAAATGGGCGATTGGGGGTCGATGCGTCCCCGCCTATGCCTATCCCCCCCTACTGTTGCACCTGAATGCCATTCGGCGGTTCAAAGATGGGGCCCTGCGGGATGGGGTCCCAACGACGAGGTGCCTCAAGCAATGTCCCCATCCCTCAAGACCACATATTTGAACCAACGACCCCATCTTTGACCATGTGGACCCGTGCATTTTTCGATCTCGCGCACTTACCAGATGATCCTAGATGCCCCACGACGGTCCTCCCCGAGAAAAAAGTGCACACGTCCGAGCGATGCCAAGCTATCGTTGCCCTCGTTGGATCTCGTTGGTTCAAGGCAAAGGAGGTCTTTCGAAATGGCGGTGCAAAAAAAATGCAATATTTCGTCCCGTGGCTCATGGCGAGTGGCCTCACTCACGGACCAGCGATGCTAGATGCAACGCATTCTGTCAGTACCGAGCACGATCCAGCACGAACGATTGCACGAACTATTTTAGCGGGCGAAAAACGGTATAAACAAAAACTGTTCCGTCGCTGGGGGCGCTGCCCCAGGGCGGCTGGAAAATCTGTACTTTGACGTGCCACAGTAAGGGTATAAACTTTCCGGCCGCTCTGAGACAAGCGCCCCCGACAGCGAAACAGCTTATCTCATACCGCTCCTCGCCCGCCAGCTATTGCACACACTTTCGAGACCCCTGGTGCATTTGACCCATTCGCCCGAATCTGACCTCGAGTGCCGCCTCTTGCGGGAGCGCCGTGGGTCCCGGCCGCAGGCGCCGGCCCCGATGTGTGCCCTGCGCGCCAGCTGCGGCAGTCGTGGGGCGCAGCGGGGCCCCGCCCCCGCCGCCACGGGGCCCCACCACGCCCCACCCCAGGGCTCGATCTAAGCAGACTGCTTTGATCGTTTAAAGCGAAACGAAAACGACAAACACTGGGTTTGTCGTTTTCGTTTCGCTTTCGTTTGCCCCTCTTGCCGCAAGACGAGATCGGAACGAGAACGGTCCACAGAATCGCCAAAACACCCGTCGAGCCCTGTCCCACCCATGGGGTCCCACGTGCAGTCCGAGCAGCGAAGTCCAACTCAGAGGGTCCACCAAAGCTCGAGCTAAACTGTGTTTTCCGTTCTCGTTGTGGTTTTCGTTTTACCTCGCTCTGTCGTCGTTCCACCGTTGCTGCATAACGAAATCAAAACGAAAACGGTCCACGAAATCTTCAAAACACCGTTTAGCTCGAGCCCTGTGGTCCACCAGGAGGGCCTCAGCCAGGCTCCCACCCACAGTGTCCCACCCATAGGGTCCCACCCATGGAGTGCGCCTCGTAGTGGCATACGAAATACTGCCACATACAACTAAATATTGCAACCAGAAGTTGCACCCACTCAATAGATTCAACCGCCTGAATTGCACCCCATTGTTTTCAGCCAGCCGGGCCCCATCCAAAACAATGGAGCAGAAAATGAGCACGACGACATCCAAGCCAACCAACGCGTGTCCGAAATGCAATGGAACCGCGCGGACCGAGTGCTTGCCTTGACTCTGGCATCTGTTTCTATTCCGTCCCCCTCATAGTCGACACATTTACGAACAACACTGTCGAGTCAGTGTCGCTTCTCTCTCACCTGATCCGCCTCCAGAGGGCTCCAAAACATATATATATATATAGAGAGAGAGAGAGAGAGAGAGAGAGAGAGAGAGAACGCTCTGAGAAGGCTGCGAGACGGCGCAAGTCCCGAGGCGGCCGACCGATCCCCGAGACGACCCAGGATGGCCCCAAGACTGCCCAAGAGGCCCCCAGTACCCCCTAAACCCCAAGAGACCCGAGGAGGTACATCCGAGAGGCCCCGAAGAGGACCCCAATCGACCCGAACAGGCCCCCAAGACGGCTCCAAGAGGCCCCGAAGGAGAACCCCACGAGGCCCTCAAGAAGGCTCGAGGAGGCCTCCACCAAGAGAGGGAGGAAAAAGATCCGCCCATTTTGTCGGCGTGTGTGAGACGCTGTTCTTCTTTTTCCGTTCTCGTCGTCGTCGTCGTCGTTGTCGTCGTCATCGCCGTCGCCGCTGTCCTCCCTCTTCCTTCATCCCATCGCAGACTTCTCCTGCGCCCGTCGCAGCTCTCCCCCTCCTTCCCCTGAGCCCTCCTGCGCTCGTACCTCGATTCCCCGGAGCCCTCCTCCTCGACCTCGCCAGCCCGATCGAAAATATGCAACGTCGCTATGGAGTCGAACGGAAGCCCTTCTCTCGATCCATTCCCCGCCAGGGGGGGGTCCCCGGGGTGGTCGAGGGGGGTCCAGGGTCAGAAAACCGTCTCCCCCGGGGGGTTCTGGGGCAAAAACAAGTCCCAAGACAGGCCACGAGTGCCCCAAGCAAGGGCTCCCAGCTTCGCGCTTCGCGCTCCGCGAAGCGCGAAGCGCGAATAACTTCGCGCTCTCGCGCCGCCCTCCCAAAGGGAGAATAGGAGGACGAGGAGGAGGGGGAGAAGGAACGAGGACCGCGAAGCGCGAAGCGCGAATAACTTCGCGCCCTCGAGGGAGCCCTTGCCAAGAGGACCCCAAGACGGTCCAGGAGGGCCCCGAGTCGCCGAACGATCGGTCCAAGAGGCCCAAGACGGCCTCCACGGCCCAAGAGCCCTCCAAGACGCTCCCAGAGGCCTCCCATAGCACTCCCAAGGGGGCGCCAAAAGGCAAACTTCATTGAGCTTGCTGGGCTTTTGACCGACGTTTGCGATCTCGCCTTGTCGGCTTCCCGACGCTCCGAGACGACCAAGAGGCCCCCGAGATCGCCCCAAGACGGCTCAAGAGGCCTCCAGGAAGGTCCCAAACGACCCCCGCCCGAGTCCCAAGACGGCCCAAGAGGCTCCAAGACGGCCCACGAGGCACGAGGCCCGCAAGAGGGCTCCAGGAGGGTGCCCCGACGCGGGGCCCGAGCGGATATTTCAAGCCCTCGGCCCCGAGAGGCTCCCAGGAGGCCCGGAGAAGTCCCACTTGCGAAGGACCAGGGGATGCTCCTCTCGAAGCGCCAGCGGCGACCACCGGCTGGCGAGAGAGCGTCGGCGCCGCCAGACGCACGGCATCCGGGCAAGATGCTTGCAGCAGCTGGGGGCGGGGACAGATGCATTCATGTTGGGTGCGACACGCGTGCAGGGAGGGTTGATCGAGGCCCGTGAAACAACGCGTGACCTGTCTGTGACAATTCGCAACCAAACCCCATTTATCCCGTATACTCTTAACACTGGCGGACATGGATTCCGCGGATCCAATTTCTGTCCGTCACCTGATTTGATCTAACACTGTAAACTTGAAAACATGGTCTCAGTCGGACCCGCGTGAAAAAACAAGACGGCAATCAGATCCACAACATCCGAAATCGGATCCGCGCGGAAAGAAATTTACGCAAATCCAAACCACATTCGGACCCGCACCGACATAGTTGGACCCGCCAACATTTATTTCAGGCGCGCCTGAGCGACAGCTGGAGGCACCATGTCTAGGCCCAAGAAGAGAAACCCTCGTCCTGAGGATGGGCGTTTTGGCTCTCGGACTCGCTTGAGGTCGCAGAGCCGACATTCCACATCTCACCAGCATCACTTGCGACGCACTTTCAAGAGTTCCCGCCCGAGACGTCCTCGCAAAAGTCCGCGCCGTGGATTTGGAATCGTGGCGGGCCACGCCACAGCCCGCCAAGCAGGGGGAACCTCCCTCCTCGTCTAGCGTTGCACTGGACGCCAGACCGTGCTGCAGCATGCTGGCGCAAAAGATGTGGCCCTCCATCCATGTGCTCGTCCGGCGGCGGGCCCGGCGCGGGAATCCATTGCGGGGGCACTCAGGACGCGCGACGACGGCGCACGCGCCGTGCGTTGGGCCAGGAGACGCAGGGCGAAAACGCAGTTACGCAAGACGAAAGGTGCTCCTCTCGAGGCGCCAGCGGCGACCAGCGGTTGGCGAGAGAGCATCAGCGCCGCCAGACGCACGGCATCTGGACAAGATGCTTGCAGCAGCTGAGGGCGAGAAGAGATGCACTCATGTTGGGTGCGTGCAGGGAGGGATCATGGGGACCGTGAAACAACGCGTGACCTGTCTGTGACAATTCGCAACCAGCCCCCTTCTCCTATATAAATTTGTAACATGGAGTATGAAAATCGCATCTGCGCGAAAAACAGGACGGCAATCATACATATCCACAACATCCAAAATCGGATCTGCGCGGGGGGAAACTGGATCCACCGCAACACAAATCCAAACCACATTCGGATCCGCACCGACTTAGTTGCGCCGGCGCAGCAGCTGGAGGCATCATGTCTGGGCCCAAGAGGAAAAACTTGCGTCCTGGGGACGTAAGAAACCCCAAAGAGGCCCCAAGTGGCCCTCACGAAGCCCCCAAAAAGCCCAACGAGGCCCCCAAGAGGCTCCCGAGAGGCCCGCAAGTGGCTCCCAAGAGGCCCCAAAACTGCCCCTCAGAGGCCCCCGAGAGCGCTCCGATCCGAAGAGACCCCAGGAAGCATCCCCGAGGACTCCGACCCACGTCAGCGTCGTCGTCGTCGCCGCCACCGCCGCCGTCGTCGTCGCCCTCTTTCAGGGTCGGCGGCACCGGCTGTTAGCCCTTCGCAGTAATTACGAGACAGGATGAGGAGCAACGAGGATGAAAGAGAACGAGGCAGTGGAGCAATGAGGAGCAGAGGGTGGAGCAATGAGGAAGGAAGAGGAGGGCGAGGAGGGGGTGTTCAGCGCCCTGTCTGAACTGAAGCGGGTCTTGAACTAAAGCTCATGTCTTCTGCGCTGCTGCGCTGGCAGGATCGGTCAGTATCGGATCGGGCGGATCGGATTGGAATGTGCATCGAATCGAGACGCATCGGCACGGAGTCGGAATCGAATCCGACCGGCCGCACCAGGATGCACAACGACGCCACGGAAGCATCGGAACGCATCGGGTCGTCGGAATATCGCACCGTTGACTCGAACTAACATTTCGAGACTTCCGTCCCAACAGGGCCCAAAGACCGCCAACAGGCGCCCAAAAAGGCACCAAAAAGATCTCCAAGAGTTCCCAAAAGATCTCACCCGTTGACTTGATCTTCCTCAAGGGGTTTGGCGGAACGGAGTAAGCCTCTTGAATATCGTGCGATCGAACGGGATCGAGCCGGCCGAACATCCCTCCCTGGGATAAGCGTACGGCTCCAGAGCGTCAACGTCGTCCTCGTCATCGCCGTCGCCGTCGTCTTCGTCGTCGTCGTCGTCCCCCTTCAGGGTCGGCGGCACCGGTCGTAAGGCCTTCGCAATATCGCACAAGCGAATGGGATCGAGCCGGCCGCGATCGGTATCGAATCGGATCGATCGGACCGAGGCGGATCCCCCAGCTGGGGGTCGAGGCCAAGGCCAGAGCCTCGGATAACGAACGAACAAAGCTGCCGTCACCGGGAAGGGCCGGCGTCCCTGCAAGTAGGTGGCGACATCCGAACCCTACCCCCACCAGCAATCGATTCGTCCGAATCGATGGGAGGCGGGGGCGGGGCTCGGATTCCGCCACGTGTTCGACGAATTCCGAACCCTACCCCCGCCGACCACCGAGTTGCCTGAATCGCTGATCGGCGAGGGCAGGGTTAGGTCGTGTATGTCCTCCTACAGGCGGATCTTGGAAGAACATGAACAACAGTCAAAACATGTTCAAAGGAGCATGCCTCCTGCAGAGGGACACGCCCGACGGAAGGGCAGGGTTCGGATTTCGCCATCGACCACCAGGCCCAGGGGGACGCAGCCTCTCCGGGGCAGGGCTGAACCTAAGCGGTGTTTTTCGTTATCGTTTTGTTTTCGTTTCCCCTCGCTTTTTTGTCTCGAATCCGCACCGCAGAACGAAGCCGAAACGAAAGCGGCCCACGAAATCGCCAAAAACACCGTTAGGTCCAGCCCTGCTCCGGGGTGCCTTCTGATCCGCACTTCGAGGGCACTCCCGGCCGTGGCGACGGGGGCTCCCTGGCAGGGGTGTTGGTTTGCGTTGTCGTGTCGTTGTCGCGTTCGTTTCGAGAAGCGCATTGAAACGAAAGCAGAAGCGCGTTCGTTTCGAGAAGCGCCTTCGTTTCGAGAAGCGCGTTCGTTTTGAGAAGCGTTTTGAGAACCGATTACCCGAAACCGCGTTTTGGCGCAAATCCGAAATCGTGATTGGCCAATGGTGGCCCCCAGACCGAGGGCAGAACGAAGCCGCAGAGAAAACGAAAACACTCCACCATACTTCTCAAACAGCGTCCTGGTCGACCTCTGCTGTCCGAGAGGAGCAGCGGTATCAGTGCATTTTCCCGCTCTTCGGTGGCAACTCATGGGAGCCTCCCATGACATCTTGCTGGCTCTTGGTGAACGACGCAAATCGAAGCTAATCGACGCTAGTCGACGCTAAATCAACGCCGACTTGACGCTAAACCGGCGCTCCCTCAACGACTGCCTCAAGCTAGCCGCTAGCGCAGGCCACTGCACTCTGGAGACTGAACTGCGAAGACATACGAGGCTCCCACGACTTGCTACCGGAACTCTCTGAGGGGTCGGACGGACAAACACGGGCCACGACGGGAAATCTCTCGAGGGGTGCTGAAGGTGTCCCTGGCCCAAGGTGTCGCCAGCTTTCCGCTCCATTCTGAAGCCCTTGGGGCCCGCTGGACCTCGTGCGGGGTGACCTGAAATCCATCTGGGCCTCATTGGGAATCATGGGGGCACCCTGGGCCAGGGAAAAGCGCGCCCACGCATTGGAGGAGATGCGCACGGGGGGCACGGGAGGTGCCCGAACGCCCAGGGAGTGCACGGGAGCCGTCGCGGTCCAAGAGGGCACCAAGACGCAGCCACGACGGCCCAAGAGGGGCACAGGAGGCCGCCAGGGCGGCCCAGGGTGCCTCAAAAACAGTTCAATGGGTCCCAAGGGCTCTCATGCCCAGGAGAGGTCCAAAGCGGCCAGATTAACTCAAACACCCAGGATGCGCCAATGTTTGCTTGCTTTCCACGCTCGTCGGTATCAGATGGAATCAAAAGGGCTATCGAGTGCCATATGGCCCGAGAGGTTTCCGCGAGGACCCCAGGCGGGCCCAAGACGGCCCAAGAGCCCCCAGAAGCGCCCATGATGGCCTAGACTGCACCCGCGACAGATCACATACTAGGCAAGAGGGCCCCTGCAAGCCGACCAGGCCGCCCAAGAGTGCTGCGGTGACATGCCAAGCGCCACCACTTGAATTTCTGAGATGCAGCTCTCGCCCGATCGGCAAAGTGGGCGGAGTAGGAAGATTCGGAGTAGCCACACTTTGGACGACGGCGGATCTCCCGCTTGGCCCAAATCCACTCACTTACCATCGCTCGGACGTCCACTTCCCGTGCGTTTGTCGGCGTCGCGTGCTTATTTTGTCCGCGCGATGACCGAGGATGCCCGTCGATGGTCCGCGCCCAAACAAGCGCACACGCCCGAGCTATGCCAGGACTCAAAGTTGGTCCCTGGACCCCTCCTGGGGTCCAGCCGTGGCCACGAGAAGCCGCCAAGGCGCCCCAAAGAGGACGGCAAACATCAGGGAGGGCCGCCATCGCGAGGACGTCCATTCCCCGTGCATTTTCGGTTTCGTGCGTGCTAATCCTTGCCAAATGATCAAGGATGCTCGTCGATGGTCCACGCCGGAAAACATATATTTGTTTGAAACGTATCGGCCCCGCGGGTGCACAGAGGTTGTGTTCTAACCCCTACTAGGTGGCCCAAACGGCCACACTAATAAATCTAACACAACGTTATGCTAGGAGGAAAAGGAGGAGGAGGAGGAGGAGGAGGAGGGCGCATGTCCGACCGAGCGCTGCCAAGCAGGGGGGGGGGGGGGGCGGGGGGCGCTGCGGCGGGCGGGCGGGCAGGCGCGGGTCGGTGGAAGGGGCCTTCCGGTCCTCGCCCACGCCCTCGGGGACGACGATGACAACCTGAAGAGGGGGGCTCTCTCCTGCTCCTCCTCCCGCCTCCTCCCTCCCTCCCTCCCTCCCTCCCTCTCCTCCTCCTCCTCCTCCTCCTCCTCCTCCTCCTCCTCCTCCTCCTCCTCCTCCTCCTCCTCCTCCTCCTCCTCCCTCCTCCTCCTCCTCCTCCTCCTCCTCCTCCTCCTCCTCCCCCTCCTCCTCCTCTCCTCCTCCTCTGGTAGTCCTCCTCTTTCTGCTCCTCCTGCTCCTCCTCCTCCTCCTCCTCCTCCTCCTCGGTAGTCCTCCTCTGGCAGTTCTCCTCCTCATCCTCCTCGCACTTCCCAGTTTTTCTGGCGGAGACTCAGCAGAGGACACACAACAAGCGTCCCGTTCCCGGATTCAGCAGAGAGGCAGCCGCGCACGAGTGGGAGCAGAAAGAACACCAAGAATTAGCGACACCAAAAGGTACAGATACCGCTGCTCTCCGGACCTCTCCTGATGTGCGTCCTGACCAGAATGTCGAGGCGAATCCAGCAGTGGCGAAGAGGGGCCGCCCAGGAGGTCCCAAAAAAGCCCAATCAAGGCAGTGGTATTAGCGGTACCGGTACCTTTTCCTTCTCTAGAGAGTAGCGCCGTCGCGCTCCGCACGTGCGTTAAAAAACGTGAAATTGCTGGAGAATGGAGGGCGAATGGCTTTTAGAATGGGGATCTCACGTGAGACTCCCTCAACTCCCAAAGTAGACTCCCTCAACTCCCAAACTCCAAGAACGAGTGCAGCAAGCTCACGGATGGAGGGCGGTTCCTCTTCGGAATAGGGCTCTCGTGTGCGAAGCCCTCCTATGACAGTGCATAAGTGCTCACATGCGCCTCATCGCCAAGGATGGAAGCGGTCCTTTTTTGGAACGGCTCTCCCTGGACACCCCCTGGAGTCCTGATTGTTTCCGATTTCTGGGGATCTGGGGAGTTTCCCCAAACACAGTTTCTCGTACCGGATCCGTTTCTGACGGTCCCAGTCAGGTCCGACAACGGCCCCTGGAGGAAAATCGAAGAAAGACAACTGAGAAGTCCTAGGTGGACGGGAATCGATCATCAAATCGGCAAGGAACTTTACACCCCTATCCTGGGGCATCCCATATAGCTGGAAGGATGGCGGTTCCTCTGCAGAACGGGGCCCCCGCTTTTGAGTAGCAGGCCCGCCGTGGGGCCCTCGCCTCCCAAGCGGGGGGGATTGCCTCCCCGCAGTGAAAAAGGGGTGCTCGCGTGCAGGGGCTGACGACGAGGGAGCTGGGGACGGGAGGCTCCTCGTACTTTGGGGCGGGAAGCTTCTCCTCCTCCTCCTCCTCCTCCTCCTCCTCCTCCTCCTCCTCTGCTCCTCCTGCTCTCTCCTCCTGTTCTGCTCGTCTGATCCCTTCTGGTACAGAGCGCGGTGGCCAATCTAAGCGAGTCAAAGCGAACCGCGGGGGAGGGGAGAGATTCGAGGGATGGGGGAGGCACGCAAGGGCCTTCTCGCAGGCGCGGGACTGGGACGAGCTCCGAGCGAGAGGCGGGAGGGGTTGCTCGGAGAGCATCGGACCCCAATCTGACGCAGCCCCTGCCCGTGGAAGCTCGAGCCCCGCTCAGACAAATGACAAGGTCCTCTTGGGTCAGATGCTCCCACTGTTCCTGGGGCGCCTGGGCATGACATTTCTAAATGGGCCCAGGGGGGCACAGCTGAGTCAAAACAAATTCCAAGATGTCTTGCCTTTTCGAATTTCACTGAATATCATGTCCCCAAACATGTCCTTTACTGAAAGTCATGTTCTTGCTGTGTGCAGATTAGCACCTCCTCAATGTGCTATGCATCGCCGCGGACCGATCCAAGGACGCTTCACGTGTCAGACGAGGCATCCAGTGGGCACGCTAGGTCTGCACCATGATGTTCAGGTCTGGGCTGGCATCCGATGCGAAAGTGACCTCCCTGACGGCCAGCTCGCACTCCTTCGCCCACCTGACGACCCTCGACGGGCACTGCGAAGCGCTGCGCATGACCCAGGAGGTGAACTGCGTCAACTCGTGACAGGCGTGCAGACGTTCGACTTTGTCAGTCACGATGTCCACGGCCTCGCTTGTGGTCCCAATTTGGAGTACCGAAACGGTGCGGTGACAGACCGTGCGGTGACCTCGAAATCCCCCAAGACCTCACCGCACGGTCCGTCAGCGCACAGTTTCGGGACCATGGAAGCGCCAGTCGCCCGAGACATCTTCGGAGAACGACCCGAGTCCCAAAGCCGTACGGTGACCTCGAATCCCCACCGACTCTCACCACACGGTGTGGTCACCACCCCGCTTGGGGGTCCCCGACCCAAGCTGGGGCCTGGCCCATGCAGAAACCACCCGGAAGAGATGCTGCCACGGCAGAACCGTGGCCTCGCTGTTCGCCAGCAGCGAGGCGTGGCCCCGCGGGACGCCCGCCAACGTGGCCTGAAGCACGCAGACTGCGTCACGGCCTGCTGGAGTCTCGCGGCCTCGTTTGCCGAACCCCAGGAGAGCCCAGAATCGAATCGACAAGTCGGATCGGCGATCGAAACCAGTCGGATCGGCGGCAGCCGAGTCGGGGAAAATCGAATCGGCAGAAATCGGGAGGCTAGCAGGCCTCCGTTGAGAAATCGGAGCCTGAACCGTAACCGAAGTCGAATCGAATCGGAATCGGAAGCCAACGAAATCGAACCGAATTGGATCGGAGGAACCGAAACGAGCCCCTGCCGTGCGGTCCACGGCGTAGGCGTTGCCGCGTGGAGCCCGAAGCCGCTGCAGCTGCGCCTCAGAGTAACCCTCTTCGCCTGCTGCGGGGCGGGACCGGCGCCACGCCCACCGAGGTGAAGAGCCCGAGGCGAGTCGCCCAGCGGCCGCGGAGGCCCCTGGATTGGCGGAGGCGAGCATCGGAAGCAGGTGGAAAGCGCCGCTGCCCCAGGGAGGCCAGCGGCTTCGTCTGTGCCCCGCGGAGAGGCCCTGGGGGCCCCGGGTTTTCAAGCGTCTGGCTGGGGGTTCCCGAGGCCTGCGGGTGCAGGACCCCCTGGGACACGCACCTGACCGGTGCGGCCGAGAAGATCCGGGCTGGCCGTCGTGGTGGCCGGGTCAGCTGGTGGACTCGAGCGCGCAGCTGGCGGGCTGCTGCCGGGCGGCCTGATCCTCGAGCGGAGTTCGGCCGACTGCCCTCGAGACCTCCCGCGCGCTGCTCGCGGCACATGCAGGCAGGGGGCTGCCCCGGCGGCGCGACGAGGCCCCAGACTTCTGGGGGCCCGCTCGCCTCCCCCGGAGATGTCTTTCCGACGGGGCCCCGGGATGAGCCGAAGAAGGGCCAGAGGGTAGCAGCAGCTCTCGTGGGGCGCTGCTCCAGCTTGGAGGACCCCTCGGTCCCCACAGCCGCCTCCTGCGGTGAATTGCACGCGTAGAGAGCGTCGGAGCGCCAGGAGGCGACACAAAACTTAGTCTGAGTCGTCCGACTCTCGGACACAAGCGCGGGCAGCTCTCACCAGAGGCTGGGTGTCCTACTAGACCCTGGGCCGACTCAGCCACGGCCAAAAGCTGCACATCTGAGCAGACCTCCTCCTCGAGTGGAGTGGGATCACCTCCTGGGGATCCTCGCTCCAAAGCGGCGTGGATGGCCGATTCTGGGCAAGAACATGTTTCCTTCTGGTCTTGGAAAGCTGGGCCTCTTCCACTGACGCAGAGAGGCCAATGTATCTAGGATATCGAAAATTTGCACGAGGTTCTCGCGACCCTTCTGTGCTGCCTCTTGGCGATGCACGTTGAGATATGTTGAGATACCTCGCGTCGACGGACGCCGTCCTCCGTAAACCTTGCAGAAACATATATAGAGAGAGAGAGACAGAGAGAGAGAGAGAGTAGTGGGGCCAGTACTGCAGAACATGCGACTCGTGAAGGTCCCTCCCACCCACCCGATAGGCGACCACATGTGAACCCTACCCCCACCTCCCACGATTTCTCAGGGAGGGCGGGGGTTCATTTCGCTCGGGAACTCCCGAACGAAACGACCCCCCATCTCCCTTTGGAAACCGTGGGGGGGGGAGGGTTCGCACGCGGCCACCGACCCGAGTCACTCCAGCTACGGAGCAGGAGGAGGGGGAGGGCGAGGAGGAGGAGGAGGAGGAGGAGGAGGAGGAGGAGGAGGAGGAGGAGGAGGAGGAGGACCACCCGAATAATTACCATCACTGCCGTCGGCAGGCTCGTGGCCGATGCCGCTCGGCTCGCTGGGGCTGCACTTCGTGGTGCAAGCAGCCACGAGACCTCGGATGCTCACAACCCTGTGGCACTGGCGCGCCTGCGGGTGGCACGCCAGGTCTGCGAAGCAGGCGTGTAGCAATCAGAGTCGTAGTTAGCAGTGCGTGGTGAGGGGAAGCATCAACGCAGCGTGCACCCGAACCGGAAGCATTTTGGCCCGTGAGCCACCTCGCGCGGCGTGCGTCGCAGCCACTGGACTTTTAGCCTTGATCCTGAAAAAAACAAGGTATTTGGTGGCACAGCCCGCACACACAGTTGTGGGCAGATGCAGAGATCACAAAAGCAGTCACTGCTGCAGCGGACGGCTTCCTCTTTGGAGTCCCTGTGGGCTCTCTGGGGCCCATCAGGGGCAGCGCGCGGGCGCTCGTCGAGGTCCAGACTGGGGCCGTCGGTGCAATCTGTTGCCAGCAGTCTTGCACACAACTTTGGCAGCTCTGGTATTGAAAATGAATTCCTGCTGCTGCGACTCTGAAGCGACTGGGCGGAGGTTGGCTCCGGCGTTGGCAGCTCTGTCCGTCGCCTGGTTCCCTAGTCTCTTCCAACGCTCTTGAGCAATGATGCCCTGCTCCTCACGGTCAAGGTGTGCTTTAACTTTAGCTACCAGCTCGATAGACTTCGAACCGAACCAATAGGCCATCGTGAGCCCAGGATAGACTCTCATATAAGACAGCTGCAACTCACGCGGTGCACCCACTAGGTCCACAACGTTTTTACCATCGCTGAAACCGCGAGAGGGCCCCGTGGACTCG